CCCGTGCCAATGAAAAAATGGCTCGAGCCCCACAGCACGTTGAGCAGAAGGTGCTGTACAAACAACTTCATCCAACTAAAACCAACAAAAAATTCTTCTCTTTCTTGCATATAACACATCTAAAAACTTATTAGCTACATAAAAATCAAAACAATTGAGATTTAAACAAAAAAATTCAAACAAAAAAAACTTAAAATTAAAACTTCCAATTACAAGAAAAAGAATCAAGAAATCAATTTATCAGCCATATGTTTTTCCTCTCCTTGCTTGTAGCTTAGTTGTGTTCAACAAGTAAAGTCAAATAGGTGTAGAGAGAGAGAGAGAGAATGTGGATGTGCATAATGAGCACGAAGAGAGGAGAGAAGCTACCAAGAAATGGGTAACCAGACTATACGGCTAGCCCAAATTTACAATATGCCGAAGACAGAACTTTAGAATATATCATAATCACCCATATAGTTTTATCACTTTCAAGTAAAATAAAAAATGGTGATCTGTTGCATTTTTTCTTGTGAGGATTGTCAAAGGAGGAGACAATATAAAGCCTCGACTTGGGTCCTTTTTTTTTTTTTTTTTTCAAAACTCATTTTTAGTCACATATTTTTTCATAAAATAATTTTACAAGTAAATTCAAAACTTTTTCCTATTTTTTAATTATGCATTCTCTAAAAAATATTTATTCCAACAAGGTCTAAGAAAAGTTGTGATGGTTACATAAATTTAATTTCAAAACACACAATTTTTCCCCTTATTACTAACATTTTATAAACTAAGAATGTTTAATAATTTTATAATATTTAAAAATAATAATATCATCATTTTACAAGTGACATGACGTGATACTTTTTGCAAGAAGTCGCCTACTTATTTAGCTCATATAGGGAATAAAATCAAAATTTTAATAGATTTTGATAAAAATTTATGAGATATGTTGTTGAAAAGTTACGAGTCTTATAAAATATGCAATTAAAATTTATTATTAAGTTTGATTTAAATTAAAATCTTCTACCAAATATAAACTCAATATAATTGAGTGAATCCAGTGAAGCTTGACGAAATTTAAAATAAACTCATAAAATCTAATTGAGCTATTGATTCTTATAAAAATTGAACGCGTTACATAAATCTAATATTGATTAACTCGATTCAAAAACACAATCCATAATTTGTCCATATCCTTCCTTTTTCTTCCCTCAACAAATGAAAGATTGGTAAAGTTTATTTATGTCGAGCGAGTATAATAGAGTCATCGATTCCAATAAAAATCAATAAGGCCAACCAAATTCAACTTCAATTGATTTAATACAAAGCCGCAATTCATCAATGAAATATAATAATTCAATAAAATGCCCAGCCCGAAAAGAAATTTTTAAACACATAATAACACAACATTAAGCAAATAAATAAATAAATAAATAACATTCGTGTTCCATATCATCCTGGCATCACTTTGGAAAGTTTAGTAACAAAAACTCGACCAACTTAAATATAATAAGTAGTGTCTAAAAAGCGTAAAACATGGCTATGCATGAAGTTGAAACTTCAAGCGTTACGAGCTTAAACGAGCCTAGGCGAAGTTTAAGTGCAAAAAAGCATTTTCTTATTTATAATATTATTTTAAAATTTTAATCATTTAAAAAAAATTTAATAATTAAAATAATACATATTAAACATCTAAAATTATAAAAATCAACATTTACTTAATAACTCCCACCATTAGTCAATTATACAGTTTTTCAAGTTTTCGAAATGTAAAAATTGGAATATTTTTCATAGTTTAAATATTCAATTAGACAAGTATTGCTTAATAAATTTATAGGAACTTCATACATACTTTTAAAGTTTGTAATAAAATGAGTCTCAAGATTATAATTACATAATGTAGATGACACAAAAACTTAAATCTTATTTTACTATTTAGATAAAGTCATTTTTAACTTTTGTTCAGATAAAATTTTTAAAAACTTGAAATTAAAGTCAAATGAATTTTTTTTTTTTTTAGATAATAATAAGCTAATGTCAATAAAAAAAACTTTTAAAAAAATCTAATAAAGTGGATCTACATGCAAGAAACGAAGGAAAAAATTCAATCGTTCAGGAGTTTAAAAAAGAGCGTCTAGGTACGAAGTAAGGCATTTTGCCCGAACTTCGAGCCTATGCACCACTTAGACGAATTTTTTAGAACATTGATAGTAAGCAATCAAAGACACCTTCTATACGTGGATTGTCCATTTTTCGTTATTAGACATCTAAAAATGATGGAGAGTCAACTACCTCAATCAAGTCCGATATTCTGTTAAAGACAAGAAATATAAGTGATTTCAGTAAGTAAAGTCTAATAATTTGATAATATAATGATCACAACTCGACATCAAAGTGTGATGAGTAATCAAATACTCAATCTAAATACAGTAATTATTGAGATTATTAACTCGTTTTAACTGGATTTCAGTTTAAAAGCTTTTCCAATTCATAACAAAACTGGCATTTTATAATAGCTATCGATCTTCAACCACTCCGACACGTCAGAGGTAAAACTTTACTATCTTCGTTTATTCTTTGATGCTAAGTAATCTCTCGTCCCTTTCAGCAGTCATATTCCTTGCAAAATTTCTTGAGGTATGGTGTCTTTTTACGGCAGCATATTCATTTTATTTTTTTTTGGGGGGGGGGGGGGGGGGGGGTTGGGGGGGGGGGGGGGGGGGGGGCATGTAGCTCTTGAGATTTTGTTTACAGCCCATTACGTTTTTATGTAATCAGTGTTTATTTTATTTAGTATTTAAGTAGTTTTCACATGGGATTTCGTTTATTACTATTTTTAACTGAATTTTGGTCGATTGAAGAAATTAGAGTGTGTTTGATTGACATGAAAAATATCACCTAGAAAAGAAAATACTTTCCATCTTTTGTAGAAAATAAAAACCACATCTACCCAAGGAAAATGTTTTTCTTAAAAACAAAGAAAATTAGTCATATTTTCAAAAATTGAAAAATATTTTCCATGAAAAAAATAGCAATCAAACACTTTAAGTAGGAATTTGGGTGGAAAACTGATATTTTTCATGGAAAATAAATGTAATCAAACACACCCTTAATGTTCACTCTTTTGAGAGAAATACGGACTAGATTTCATTGATATCAGCCAAAACAGCCTCGGAAAAGTAAAATCACTAGGACGTGAGCAATCACATTTACATCTCGAAAAATAGAAATGCAAAATATTGAAGGAAAAAACTGCGATAAATCAGAAATATTAAAGGAAGATTAATGTTTAGTGAGTGTTGAGACATTTTTTGTACTTGTTGACACAAAAAATTAAATAAATAAATGTTGATGAGTCCGTGCCTGGGCTATGAATAGGGGTGGGCACGGTTCGCTTCTTAGAGAATCGAATCCGACCATTTTCAATTAGGATTTCTAAACTAGAACCAATGGTTCCATTCCTAGCGTAGATACGGGGACTGAACGAATCAGTTCTGGTCCGATCGGTTCTCTCTTTTCCAACTTGGTTCATGTTTCATGTTTGTTTATTCAAATGGCACTTCTTAGGATAGTGCAAAATAACAATGATCACATGGGTCTACAAAAATAAAAGAATAATGTTATTTCACTCCACTGGGGTTACAACCCCCATCTAGAGGTGGCCTTAATGTGGTATTAAATGATAGGTCATTTAATTCCACCTTTCATTTTGCTTATCATCAAGCACCATCTAGATTGAAGTTGCGATCTCAGTGGACCTACATAGCATTATTTAAATGAAAATTTCAATTCATAATAGCATCACCTTAGTGCTTAAACTGCTACAATATTAAACATCTAATTTCAATATTCGTACTGGACTAAAAGTATCTTCAAGAGACTCTATTTTTAAAGAGCATGTTCTATTATTTGGAGAGCGCCTATAAATTTAGAGTGTTAAAATTTTGAAAAACTCCATCAGACTATTTGTATTTAACATTTAATTTTATTACTGTCGCAAAATATTTATTACTTTTCTCTATATCATTTTATTATTTTCTTATATTTAAAATTGAAACACTTTGAACGCATTTAATTAAAGATTGGAAAGCCAAATCCACTTTCTAAATCAAAATATTAATTTAAAGAGTCTCTTGGAGCATGATTTTAAGGGTAGATTTTTTAAAATAAAGAGCATCTCGTGTTCAAACAGTCTCTTGGAGATGCTCTAACACTGCAATTTGCTGAAAGAAAAAAAAAAAGGTTCACCAATTAAGTTGAAGAAAAAATAAGAACTGAAAAAGCTTTTGGTTCTTTAGTGAATATAGAGAATCTGACTGGAACCAACCAGTTCTTGATTTCATCAAACGATAGGTTCTGGCCTGGTTCTTTGGAGAATTTTTGCCTACCCCTAGATATAAACTTGTTGAAACATTTGTGTAGCATGTATGTGGCCCTCCAACATAAGGGTGCTTGTGTGTATGTATGGTATGGAAGTAAGATGATGTGATACTATTGTTATTAATACCATTTTTCCTTGTCTGAAGCTGAGAGGTGTGTCACTAGTGTAGTGCTCCAGCTATTCATTAGAATGTCACTATCGAAACCTATTAAGGTTAGCCAACCATTATGAGCAAAAAGCCATGTGACATGAGTTAATTTCATGGTAAATTGGATGTTGTATACTAAGATGTTTTTTATTGTGAAAATTAAAACGTTATTGTATATTTATGGAGCCCTGTATCTAGTTCTAAATAACCTAGAAGCCCGATAATTGGTTTTGCTTGGAATTAACTGCAAGCTTCGATTGATGTGTGTTAAGTTTTTTGAGCCTGTACTTCTTAGCTGTTCAGTTGTTTGAAGAAGTTCAAATTTTGCCTATTATGGTATGCCTAACGTGTTTGAATTGCCATTAATTTAATGCTACTGAACAAAGGTTTTGTACTTGTTAGTTTCTGTAATTTCAGTTCCCGTATGTTCCTATTTCCTCACTCTAAAACTGGAAACATTGGGAACAACTCGGATTTTATGAATTACAGGGTTGATGCTCATACCTGTGGAAAAGCAATGGTGAAATCTCTTGAAGATGCTTCTTAACCTGATGAACTCCCAGAGTTCTTCAAAGTTTATATGGCTGCTCTTTGGTCCGAAAGATTGGTATTCCCTTTCTCTTTGTTGAACTCATCATGGCCAATTAATATACTTTTTAAGCATGGTGAAAAAAAAAAAACCAATCTGTTCTTTTATTTTAGAGAATTCCTCCGGCTTTCATCGAGAATTTTGGTAGAAAAATACCTCGAAATATCATGCTTGGAACGTCATCAAACCTCTTTTGGAAGGTTCACATAAACAAAATCAATGATTATCTCTTTTTTGAGGAAGGTTGGCCAGAATTTATTCAAGAAAGTTCATTGGCACATGGAGAATTTCTAACCTTTTCTTATGCCGGTGGCTCAAAGTTCTATGTTAAAATATTTGCAACAAATGGCTGTAGAAAGAGCGTAGCCCCTCATCGCAATACCAAGTACGAACCTTTCAAGTTATGCCAAGGGAACGAGGCATCGAGACCTGGTAAATTCTTGTCTAAATACTTATTCCTATTTTACTGAATATATTTTCCCTGTATTCATTAAAATGTATAAAATTTTGCAGGCAAGTCTTACTCTATTGAAGCTCCCCGAGGAAATCTACATGGCAGGGATCTGGCTGTAAGAAAATCTGGAGGCAAATGTCATTCTTTTGAAATGGTCATGACGAAGACTTATATCCATAAAGGGCTTCTGGTAAGAGCATCAACCCATGATTTCTTATTGAGCGTGTTGAAAAACAAAGACCCGGAATATTTTGAATCTGGTAACATGATTCGCTGTCACATTCTTCTGTTTCTTGTTTACCAATGCAGAATATACCGTCTCACTTTGATATGTATTTGAAAACGAGTGATTTTGGCGAACGAATTGCTACTCTTCAGCATAAAGATAAGTCGTGGCGTGTGGTTGTTGCTACTTCAAGCAATAGAAACCGATTTGCTCAAGGCTGGACCAAATTGTGAATGACAATTCTCTGAAAAATGGAAACATATGCAATTTCAAATTGATTGATAGGAATGATTTGGTCTTCAAAGTCACTATTTGTGGATGATTATTTACCAGATTAGTTATTTTGTAGCATGTTTACTTCAATACTAGACTGGATTGAAATGTGTAATGGACAAAACTGTAATATTGTTTTCTCGCTTAATATAATCGCGTGTTAATCCTTTGTACATTGTGTTTTTGTCACAAGAGTTTGCTCCGTGAATCTTTTTATTACATTCTGAAATTGAGATTTATTCATTTTATTGAGAGTGATAAAACTATTATGCCATAGCAAAATTGTACAAAAGATGAGCATAGTGCCTCATGATAAAGGATACGCAATGGAGCATCAAGAGTTGACTTTAAGAAAATTGGTTAATTTTACTAATGGCCATTGAAGTTTGAACTTAAGGTCATTTTCATCATTGAACTTAATTTTTTCAAACTCACTATCGTGTACTTTTTAACTAAATGTTCTATGTGCCTATGTGTGCAAAAGTGCAAGGGAAAAGATTGATTTTAGTAAGACCAACGATCGAAGTGGGACAAAACATATGTCCATTGAACATAGAGGTCCACAAGAACTGTGATTGGAGAATCAGCATCACCATTCCAGTACTGATTTATTACAAGATTACTACTTAGATTAATAAGATTTTGTCAGTCCAAAAAACCTACGAAAGTTACTTAAAAAATGAAATTTATGTAATCGAATGATACTAGAGAAAATTATAAGCTAACATTTTGTAAATTGTATTATCTAATTATATATAAGTAATGATACACGACCCACAAGGATGATTGCGCACACACACATGGGGGTGAGGATTATTTTATTTGCATGAGACCCACACATCTCATGTGTGCGATCATCAGGGATGTCATCCATGAGGGCCAAGTAGCATTTTCCATTATATATCAAACATCATGGGAGCCATTGTGCCCCTACTGAGTACTCTCAAAGTTCCTAGGGATGGAAAGGGACCAGTACGGGCCCTTCTTATCATCTTAAATTACTTAACCCTTTTTTTTTCTTTTTCTTTTTTTAATTATTAAGAATTATGGTTTAAGTTTAAAAAATAAGATTTGGGATGGGGACCTGCCCCAATTAGCCAAGGGATAGAATGGGCAATTTGCCATTCCAAGTCCCAAGCGCAAGTTGAAATCTAGGGATGGAAATATATGGTGATACTACACGTACATCAGGGCGTTCATCTCGGTGCCCATTTCCCTAAAAGTAGGGAATGGACATCCAATGAATACCGCACCATGTACAATTAGCATATTCCGGGAAAATATCTCCTCCCACTTTTATTTTAATTTTAATTTTTATGTTATATTTTTAAATTTTAATCATATTTTAAAATAAATAAACACACACACACACAGTACAATAAGTGGGGATGTAGTAATTCCCGTCCTCACCTAGCCTTTCAAAAATCCCCAGTGGGATAGGCGATTGGGATAGCCACCTCTATCGTACCTCATTGTCGTCTCTATTAAAATTCAATATATATATTGATTTTCATTGCACAATCAAGTGCGAAGATATTTAAACACGTGATGACTATATATTTACATCTTTCATGGCCAATTTATTTTTGAATAGTGTTAATGTACATAGAATTGTCAATGGATTGGTCAATTCGATCCGATAACCTGGTCCGATTTTATTATAATAATATGATATATTTTATTTATTATCACATAATTTATTGAACTTTTTTTTCATTTTGAAACTTGTATTATACTTTACACATAGCTTTCAAATAATAAATCATATTAGATAATAGTATAATATTGTTAATTGAAATATTTGAAGAGATTAATTTTTTATTAATTAAAATAAGATAAAATAATAATTAATTCATTTTTATAAATTAAACAACTAAAAGAGCCCATAGTTGGAGTTGCTTTCATTATTCCCAACTTCTCACTTTTTATATTGAATACTTACTAGAATATCATAAAATTTACAATCTATAAAAATGTGTGCCAAGATTGAGTAAAAAAATATATGGGCCTTTTAATTTTAGAGTTTTGAAGTTGACTAATATAAAATTTTTCTCTTTCTAATTTTTTAAAATTAGGATTGGGTTATCGGATTAGATATTAGATTGAGACATTTTCATAAGTAAGATATTAAGTATGACATATTTCAAAATTATGAAAACAAGTTTTAAACTTCAAAAATTAGATTTTTATTAAAATTTTATTTATGATTTAATTAATTAATTATATTTAGATCACAAATTTATACAATTTGGTCACAAATTAACAATTTAATTAGTAATTTATTATTTTTTGGTCACAAATTAAAAATTTTATGTCAAAAATTATTTTACGATCAAAATTCAAAAATTTTGTAGGTCACTATTTGTTCATTGGTCACAAATCAAAAATTAATTAGTTACAAATTAATTTCTAATCACACATATCAATTTATTGGTCATAACTTATTTCTTTATTATAAATCAAAAATTTTATAGGTCATAGATTATTTTTTTATCACAAATCAAAAATTTTACAAGCCATAGATTATTAATCGATCACAGAGTCAAAACTTTTATTGGTCACAACTCATTTATTCATTGAAAATTATTTGATTAATTGGTCATGATTAATTTTTCGATCACAACTTAATCAATTATGAGTCACGGTCACAATTTTTAATCAATTTATTGGTCACAAACGCAGTACAACACCATCTCACCACCACCACCATGTCACCCACCCTAACCTACTTCGCCACCGCCGCTACCATACCACATCGCCACCAACAACCACCACAAATCCAACAACCAAAAAAACACTACCACCACTACCCACACTACCTCACCACCACCACCATTTGCAAAATCATATCCATCCCTATTCAACAAATCAGAAACTCACCCTTGCTCACTCAAATCTTGCCTGACCACCACCACATACCTTTAACAAAATTGTTATCGGTCTCCTCAATCCACCAATATTCCTTACCCCGCCAGCAACCAATCCTCCACAAATCTATCCACCTTCGTCCTCATCAACAATCCCATAGCCCAAAACCAGTCTCCCAACGGCACTCATCGTTGCTCCTCACTGTATCTACTTCGTGCAACGCTCCTCGCTATATCTACTTCTCGCAACTGTTCAATGCTATCGTTGATTAGGGCAACACTCATGCCTGCGCTGTCGACAGTGGTCGCCCTCCGATGTCACTGTTCAAATCCACTCGCAGATGCGTATTTGTTGCTGGAGGTGACACTCACTCCACTATGATGACTTCATCGTCACAGTGTCGTCAGAGTGAGTGGTCGGTCGTCGGAGAAAAAATATAAAAGAGAGAGAATGATTTATTTGGGGATGAATTGATTTAATAATGTATAACTACAATATTGAATCTTAGAGAAAAAATGTAGGGAGAAAAAATAAGTGAGAAAATTAGGGTTTTTTGATTTTAGAATAGTAAAACTTTCCACATGATTTTAGAATGTGGAATTTTTAAAGTATGATATTATGTAATTTCCACTATTAGATAACATAGCAAATCAGATATAGATTTAACAAGCAAATATTTGTTGGATTATCAGATCGAATAATTATTCTAACAGATCGAATTGAATTTGTACAAATCCGATACATTTACAGCGCTACTTATACATAACAAGTTACACAATGATTTACATAGAGATAATGTGTCAAAAAGAATGTAAGGATTTTTTATTTTTATTTATTTATTTATTTTTATTGAAAAAATTCTGACCCAATCATATTTTACTATATCACATGTATGTAAATCGTTAAGTACATTTAGCCATTTGTTTTTTTATCTTGTGAAGTTTTGCATTTGCCCAAAATTGTTAAACGTGAAACTTTTCCATCAAGCCGTGCAACTTTTGCTAGTTGTCCTAGGTTCTTTACGTGAACAACAAATATTTCCTCATCCTATAACAATGCCCATAAGGATCGATACGATTCAAAAACTTTCGTGTAGGTTTATGTAAAATAGCTTTCAATCTCCCACACACTAGGATTCCTACTTCAGTTTCAATAGTCTTATTTGTTAATTTATTTAAGGTATAAATCGTACAACGCCATATCATTTTAGGGTGATAGGGTTGCCTCGAAGACCAGTACGACCATTGTTAGGTGCAGAAAATTTCAAGGCCTATAGGCCTATCCATGTTGAGCATGTCGTGTTAGATGGGATAGTACGACGAACTATTTATTTAAGGGAAATTATGTAAATGGTGTAACAGTTTTTACCATATCATGAATTTTTCAATATGACATTTCGAAGACTCGAAAACGGTCCAAAAAAGACATAAAAATTCTTCCCTTGCTATAAAGATATGCAGACTACATGAAGACCACTCAACAAATTAATATGCAGACTATGAAGACGATCTCTTGGACGCAACAAATTGAAGAGAAGAAATAGCATCTCGAACACCGAAATTAACATATCAAGTTTTAAATAGATCGTAGTATGCAGTCCTACACAATACACACACAAAAAAAAAAAGGATACATGTGAAAACAGCTACTAGACTAGAACAAAGAAAAAAATTGGAGATGATGAAATGTTAGGTTGAAACAGCTGACATCAAGATTGCATTGCCATCATGGAGACGGAGTTGGGTTCTTTACCATGAACCCTCAATCGGTAGATGCACGTATGAGAAGAGCTCCCATGGTTGGATGTGAAGTCAAGCCGGATTGTGTCAACAACAGGAGAAGCTTCTGAGTCTAACACATTAAAAGTTTGAGCACTGCTCTTGTCAAGGTCGTAGGTAAATTCTGTCAAGAGAAACATTTTCTCAGTGTCAATAACCGGATTGGTCAAATCCTGTCCCTGTAGCCATCCAGAGACCCTACAGTGCTTGGGAGCGCTGGACCTATCATAAGCCACACTCTGATCAAAATAGAACATGAAATTGTTAGTGAATATACCCTTCGGGAGACAAACAACATCTTAAAAGTAAAAAGAGAAATGAGCATTTAAATACATCACCTAAAAATGCACAACTCATCAACTATTGACGACATCTGAGATATAAAGGTAAACTAAAAGCGAAATATTCACAAGTTTGGGAACATACATGAGAGAAATAGTATGATAAATTGCAAAAAGTCATCCAAGGAAAGTTAAAAGAGAAATCAAAGAGAACTGAGATGTTAAAAAACATAACGACTAGGGTATGAAACTCTCAACTTGTAATAATATCCTTGCCACTCTAGTCCTAGAATGGAACTTCCAAGAAGAAACTAACTCTCAACTTGCAATGATCTCCTTGCCACTCTAGTCCTAGACTAGACCTTCCAAGAAACTTACCTTGTTGCCAGGAACTTCCAAGAACTTTACTGCCTCCTCAAAATTTCTAGACAGCATATAGATGAGTAGCTCAGACACATGCTGAATTTTTCAGCATTTCAGTGCTAAGATATGCAGTACGAAGTTCCAATAATATTAAATCAAATAACTTTCACGACATTATAAGATATGACTGGCAGCATTAACTTTGTCCTTCGACTGATATAGTCGATGTTGGTCTATCTCTTCCTATGTTCTTTAGCAGTATAAATCCCTCTATTTGACAGATTTGAGAAAAACAAAATTACCCAAAGCAAGAAAATACAGATCTTGTTTCTCACATATATAAGAAATAAATTATAAATGAGAGTAAACAAGCAACGAGATAACACATCCTACAACAAAATGAAGACAAAGAAATCCTAAATGAGTTTTAAACAAGCCAAGAGATAGTATATCCTACAACAAAATGAAGACAGAGGAATCCTACTTTTGTCAATGTTCCCAAAAGTGTTCATTTTTTGTTTACTTTTCCCCTAAAACAATGAATATATAGCAACTCTGAATCTCTGATTACATATGAATGCAAAGGGGTGAATAAAATAATTATTATTAATCTATTGTGTGTTAAAACTTTTGAGATATTTCCAGATTCAACGGAAGAATATTTATTATTTTCCAAGAAAAAAAAAGGATTCTACACATACAAGCCTTCCCATTCAAAACAGACTGTCTCTACTCCACATCCAAGCGCCCCCAACCAAACAAAGTATCTGATTATAAGGATCCAAGTAAATATGCCTAGCACCAAAAAATGTCAACCCTACAGGTCCAACAAAAGTCGTCATGCAATATATCGTTTTCTACCCATTTGTAGCCCATCATGTTTCTTCATAGCCTGTCTCTGTGTTCGGATACACTAGTGCTACAAAAGGTTAACAAACAACGCAAAATTTTTGTACTAACTCTTTACATCTACTCACATAAAATTTTATTCGTTACATTACCGAAAAAGAAATCAAGGGGATTATTTTTCTTAGGGGTTGATAGATGATTGAGTATTATTTGTTCGTTCTGCATTTTTTTTTTTAGTAGGTAATCAGATAATTTTATTACTTAAAAGAGAATACACGGGAGGTATACAATCACTTTAAGTCAGTAAGGAACAACATGAAATTAGATACCCATCTACAAGATCTTTAGCCACAGCATTAAACCAAGAATACAAAGTAAAGTAAAATGTTTCTCTTATCTGCTCTCTTATCTTTGTTTGGTCTTCAAAGCAGCAGTTGTTCCTTTATCTCCACGCGCACCATACAATGCAACCCGGGAAAAGGTGTCATGCAAGTTTATTATCCTTATCTCGAAATTTTCTCCTCCTTGCCCGTAGTACGTCCTCTATACGACGAGGCAACGCCCAATCCATAGATTGAGAACCAAGTATACTGTTCCAAATCCAATGAACACCATCACAATGAATGAACAAATGATCGAACGTCTCCCCATCCTTCTTGCACATATAACACCACTCGATTACGTAAAAGCCTTTATATCGAAAATTATCCATTGTTGAGACCTGTCTCCTCCCAACTGTCCACAATAAGAATGTCACCCGAGGAGGCAATTTACATTGGCACACCAACTTCTAGAGAAATTAATTATCCACACATCCCAGGAGGAAACTAAAGTAAGAGCGAACTGAGAAAATGTCATCCCGTGCTATCCTCCACTTGATACAATCGCCTTCTCCTACTCGAAGGTTAGTTAAGACATATCCCGTACGTGACAGCCTATTTTTCAAAATGAATCCAAGCTTTCTTAATCACTATGTATTTCTTTCTAGAAAATATTCTCCCACTTTGATGGCCAAAAGTTTTGAAAAATAAGCAAGGGCTAAAGTTAGTATAGGATAAAGAATTGGATTGGTATTCAGAATATAGGGATGCTTATGCTAAAACCCTTATGACCAAGCAATTTTTTGTCACTTGCTTAAATTATAAATACTTTTGGTCAAACCTACTTTTTATCCACACATTTTGTGGGACCAAAAGTACGTCCACTTATCCACCATCATTTCCATCTATTCACAAACGAAGGCTTGGAAAGTACAAGATATAACTTTGGTATACAATCAAGGAAAAATAATAGAAATGGAGCCGATGCAGTCATTAAATTCGATTTAAAAGATGAGAAAATAGAACTTTGGGTAGGGAATAGGATTAAAATAGTCAAGCTTCTTCTACAAAAAAGTGGAATAGTTATATCAGCACATTTACTCCACAAACGAGATTAGAACAAAGCAGCGGTTTAGGAATAAAAATAATGGGCTTGATCAAGAAATCCCTAATCAAGATAAATTATTAATTTTGGAATAATTAAATGGCCGAATGGGAAAATAATACAGCTTATTTCATTAGAAAATAGGGAAGGAGGTGGTGCGGGTGTTGAATGGAATGTGGCGAGCTTCAATTTTAATTGATTAAACTTAATTTAATTAATATAAAAATATGAGTACTCCAATATAAAAAATGAACTATATACTTAAAAGGAGACTACATGAAGTTAAATTGTAATTTATCTATCATTAATGCCACATTTAACATATTATAATATTATCTCTTACGTACATGTATTTATATTATAATATTTATTATTTATAGAGTGAGATTCACTTAAAATCAACGTTCATCTACTTATATAATTATATTATAATAACAAATATATATGTAAAAATAAAATGTGGAGATTGATGAGAAACGTTCAATTTATCATTTTGTCATTATATAACATTGTCAATATTTTCATTCAAAGATTATATAAATTGTACTTTTAATTAATATAATAGATAATATAAGTATTTAAATATAAAGAAAAAAAATTGCTTACATATGCGATCAACAGCTAGGAAGAAAAGAGTTGAAGATGGGAGAAATTATCCTTCAGTCTTAAAAACCTTATTAATTATTCTTCATAATTAGGATTTACTTATCATTCCCAAATTTGTATCTACCCCACTAAATACAAGCTTCTCAATTACATTTTTGGCTAAAACTAGATTTTTAAGTGTTAATTAAACTTAATATACATACATATGTACATACACATATGTATATATGTATACATACATATATGTATATATGTATACATAAATTTTTTCTTTAACATTATCAATTAACTTACTTTAAAAATATTACGCATATTATTTATTCCATTCCATACAGAAGACGTGCAACACAGATGCTTACTACTAGTTTAGTTGAAGTTGTAGATGGAAGAACTATACACAAATTATTAATTAAAAGGCATAGTGAGACCATATTGTTCAGCTTAGTCGGTCATCTAGAAAAACAGATCAAGAAACCAAAGAGTTAATAGGCCATAGGAGCAGCACATAAAACATACCAATTTAAATCCTTATCCATACGTAACTTCTAGTAAAAAAATATGGATTAATTAAGCATTGCTGATAATATGGAATATGGGAATCAAAAGATTACCTTGGCTACATGTTCCAGAGTCACAGCCTCGGGAATAATGGCAGTCCTAAGCTTGATCTGAACAAATCCACTACTCCCCTTAAGCGGAAAACACTGCCCAGGCTCCCCAAAGCTCGGTCTAAGCATTTTAGCTGCATCAGCATGAGCTTTATTACGATTTGTCAACCAACTCCCACTCCCAGTCACTTTCCCAAATGGCTCTGAATGCCTCATCACCTTCCCGCCTCCGGATGCCAATGCGTAATCGACCATCCCAAGCCCATCAGCCGCATGCCTCTGAATTTCCTTCTCTATTATATTTCTCGCATATTCCCTAATCTGGTCCAGGCTCACTTCGTCACCATGATTGTCTCCATCCTTCTTTGACTTCCTAAACTCCTCGAAGAAATCATTAAATTCTTCCTTTGATAATAAACTTTTTGATTCAAATTGGCCCATAAACTTCTCATAAAGTTCACTCCTTTCATCCAACTTTTTCAACTTCAAATCCAACTTTTCTCCTTGGTTATCTAGTTTCTCAACAAATTCCTTTTTTACTGAACTGATCCCCTTCTCATATTTTCGGTCAATGGCCTCCACTTGGACCTGCATGGCTTTTAAAGATTTCTTCACGAACTTATCTATCTCGGCTAACTTACCATCCACATCCCCTGACATTGCTGAAATCCCAACCGTATCATGACCCGAATTTTTTAAAACAGCCCACCGGATCATCTGAACTAAACTTATTAATGCCAACAAGAGCACAAAATTCTTAGTAATAATGCTGATCGCAGTGAGCCAGCGTGGCTTCTCGGCTTTCGAGGACTTTCTTGACGCGCCAGTCCGTCGTGTCGTTGCTTGGTCACCGCTAGTAGTGTTGGGCGGCGGTTTTTTAACGTGGATCACATCCTTGTGGATCCCGGTGGAAGTACCACCGGCAGTGAGTCTAGCACTGGAATTGTTTGTGTTTGTATCGGGATTTATTGGGGAGGCCGCGGTGGCGACCATTTGGGTCGCGTCGCCAGCCAAATCGAAGCCGGCGGATGGCTGCTTCTTTTCCACGGCTCGGCGCCGGGTGGAAGTGGTATTTGCAGTGACGGAAACTGTGGATGCGGACATTGAACAGATGAATTCCAGAAATCAAATGCAAACTCTCGAGAGATCTGATTCAATTTTGAAATTGAAATCAAGAAACCCTAGGTGTAAAGAGGGAAATAGAAATGAAATTTTGGGAGAGAGAGAGATTAATCGCTACGGATACTTTCGTAAATAAAAACGAGCGGTTGTATGAAATACGAACCGACGGTCGACGGCTTTAGAAAAGATTAATTTTGGGAGAGAGAGAGATTAATCGCTACGGATACTTTCGTAAATAAAAACGAGCGGTTGTATGAAATACGAACCGACGGTCGACGGCTTTAGAAAAGATTAATTTTGGGAGAGAGAAGGATTAGAAAAGATGTCTATGGGTAAAACAATATTTTTTTCTCAAACTCATTTTAATCAGAAGTTCACCCTACGGGTGGGCGTGGGTTGGATCGGTTCGATTCGATTCTAAAGAAAATCGATTCGAACCAAAATTTTTTGGTATTTAATAAATAGAACCGTCTAGTCCAAATATAATTATGAAATCATTCGGGTTCGGTTCCGTTCGGTTCGATTCGATTCCATACTATAATTAAATTTTTTAACATTTATAACAGCATTATATAAATACAACTAATGACACATTCAATGATTTTGAAATGTCAAAGGCTAGTAGATTATTTTATTCAAATTGATCGCTACGATCAAAGTTTCGATCGATAGAGGTCATAGCTTTGATCGGATGTTACAGCGTCGACCGGCGATTGTATAGGTTTTGGAATGTCAGCGAGATTGCGAGAGTGAGTACGAGAGTTAAGACAGTGTTATACACTTTAGTGTAGATGTTTAGAGTTATTTAGTGGGTTAGATCTTGTTGGGCTAAGAAGTGAAATAATAAAATGGATAATTGGGCAAAAAATTTAAAAATTAGAAATGAAACAAATTATTAGGCTAAAATTTTGAATTTAGAAATTATTAATTTGTTTAGAAAAAATTAAAATTAAAATAATTTAATTTATTCAATATAAAAAAATTAGAAATATTCGATTTTTCGGTTCTTGGTCTAAAATCGAAAATCAAATCGTACCCGTTGGTTCTCAATTTAGATACCCGTTCGGGTATTTAATTTTATAAGAACCGTCGGGTTCGATTCGATTCGGTTCGGTTAGGGTTCAGTTCGATCAGTTCGGTTCGAAAGATTTGCCCAACCCTAGTTCTCCCAGTAAAGTTTTTGTTTGATAGCCATTATAGAAAAAAAAAAAAAAAAAAAAATATATATATATTTAAATAGTGTTTTTTTTCAGAATATGGTTAAAAAGTATGGTAAAGTGTTAAATTTACATAAAAATATTTTATTGTGTAATATGTAGTTAAAAATGAATATGAGAATTAAAAGATTTTGTTTTGAAGAGAGACGAATAGGAGCAAAAAATTTGGACGATGCTACATTTATCTACACATTTTTATCGAATTTTTTACCCACACTCATCACAATAGGAGGACAAGTCCCACAAGCTGGAATTTTTAAATGCACTCGAGGCCCGCGCGCATGTGAGAGTAGGGCACCAATTCAATTACCCATTTTTGGTACATATATATTTATCCAAAAAAATTTGCCTATGACTTTATAATACTCTTTATCTAAACATTCGCTAAAAAATTACTATCCGAAAACTCATTTTCTTATTAAAAAAAAAAAGGCCTTTTTTTAGTGATTGTCAAATTGGAGCAAAGGAAAATAGAAAATTAAATGCTGAAAAATACCAACTTCTGTTATGCCTGTTAAAATATTTGATACATTAAATTGGATTCCATATCATATAATTATCTACTATCCTTTCATTAATATATGTTAATCATATCAGTACATTTAAAGGCGTTTTGAAAATGTCGTTTAATAGCAATATTAAAAATCTCCAAAATTATAAAATTCCCTTTTCTAAAATATAGGACTTTATTAATTATTAAGACCCATTAGATTTTAGTAAATTTTGATAAAGATGGATGTAATGTGTGATTCAAAAGTTATGAATATCTAGAAATATGCGAGAAAATTAATTGTTGACTTTTATTTACGTTAAAATTTCAATTTTAATTTTTATCAAACAAGGGACTAACAATTAGTTAACAAATTTCTTTTCAATTGTCAAAGTGTGACCTGTTAGCCCATAAGTCAGTACTATGACTAAGCGGCTCTTGCTCACCCAACAGCAGCGGTCAATCTCGCTACCTTTCTCTATGAGCGGCCGCCATCTAACCAGAATTTCAGTGTGTCAGAATCTCAAGAACAATTTTCTGAAATGAAGTGTTGTTCAATCAAATTCATGATCCATCTCAAGAGCTGAGTTTCTATCAATCAAAATTTCTTTTTTCTCAATAAATAAATTTTTGAAAGGGTCATTTAGGTTCCATGAGTCATCTAACTGAAAGGGTCATTTGCTATCAACACAATAAATAAACCATGCAAGCGCAAGACAATTATGCGATGAACTTTTTTAGATGTGATATGGATGTAATTTTTTTATGTGATTAAAACACACGCACATATATGCTACAAAGAGATTAAGCTCTTACGAGCATCAATGGTGAGTAGAAGAAGTGTGATGATAAAAAAAAAAAAAAAAGGTCTATTTTATGGCAAAATATATAGCCCTTGTTTGAGCTTCATTATTGTATTAATACATTTTTCTCTTACTTATTTTCAATTACAAGTTTTCATTATTATTCAACTACACGTTCTTTAAAAAAATAATATTTCAAAACACATATTTTCCCAAATTCTAATTTTAATCGAAATCCTGACAGCGGCTTAGTCCCCATGATCATTTCTTTATAATAAAATTGTTTATGCTACTAATATTTTCAGATGTTTAGTGGATGGTTCCCATGTGTAGCTAAATTGGCATTCGTTCGGATTATCTACCTTTCATTTTTCTTCACTCTTCCTAATTTTATGGGTATCTGTTATATGCGACAAATGAACATTAACCTACGACAAAATTCAGAATAAAAATCTGTACATAAACAGGGGCGAATCCAGAAGTTTAACCCAGCACAGGCGGTCATGGACCGTTCAGCCGCAATAAAATATTAAGAGCCAGTTTGATACCATTTATTTATTTATTGCTTTTTTTTTTGCGAAAAATACATTTTGAAATTGTGATTTGATGGAGAATGCGCAGCTAAAAATAAATAGAAGTTTTGAATTTGCGTGTAATATTATTTTATTGAAAATGTATTGTTAAAAAGAAGAGAAAAAACATATTTTGAAAAAAATGAAAATCAAACAAGGTCTAAAGTTTAAATATAACAGTTATTTTGTTCAAATTGAATATATATAATTTTTTTATAAGAATAAATTGGACTCATCGAATGTCATTGTTGCCAAGTTTTGTATAATTAAAAGGAAAAGCATGGGTTCGAGTCTTTGCAATTGTACTTGCAAACCAAATAAAACCTAACAAATATTACTTTGTTAAACACAATGATTTTTGCCAACAAGTGGTGTAATGGTCAAGCTCCAATACCTCTATCAAAGAGGACCCGAGTTCGAAACCCCTTTGGTCCACTTCCTATTGAGTTTTTGTAAAAAATGTAGAATAAAAGCATTGTAAAATAAATTTTGCTAGCAAGGGGATTCGAACATGAAACATCCAACATAAACATACAAGCTCCAACCAACTGAGCTAGAAGCCATAGCTGAGACTAAAACGAAATACCAGTAATATTAGCTCAAAATTTAATATATTCCCAACAGAAAAAAACTCCTCCCAACGGATCCAGCACTTGGCAAGCCCGATCTACCAGGGCGACCGCTAAGGCTCACCAAGTGCTGGATCCACCACTGTACATAAATCATGAATAAATGATCTGTGACCCATACACATAAACCTATGCACATTTATATAGATCTCATATCAAAACGTAAAATTTTGATGTAAAAACCAATGAAATGTGAGTATGGATGATATTTTTTCATAAAGATACAATATCAACATTAAACTAACAACTTACATATCTGATGGATGCCCAGCTGAATGTGCTGCCTGCAAATAATGAGCATTAGCTGATGGACCCTCATCCATTGAAGAATGAACATGAAACAAATTCTCCAGCTATCTCGGTGGAGGATCAACAAAATCAGCATCATCTTCAACAACATCGACAAGTCCAAGTTTACCATCACTTATCATGAGCACTGAGATAGATATTTTTTAGTAGGGGAACCTGCCCCAGCTTTCCATTATGTCATTCTTGGACATCCCTTTCATTTGTTAGCTTGGGTTGAGCTAGTTTGTTGTACTCTAGTTATGTATGACAACCCAATCTCTGTCTCCAATGGGTCCAAGTCATTTACTCGAATCTGCCATTCTAAATACATTGAAAATGGAAGGTTAACAATGAAATATTGTTCGAAACATTGCATACTGCACTAGTCGGAAGTGAATTTAAATTCATACATCAGGGTTAGCAAAGACATCATGTCCTTCCAACTTGCAGCTGAGGGGTGCTCATCCGCCATCCAATTTTTGATTCGGAGGTACAAACTGGACATCCTTGTGACCACGCGTCCATTGAGACTAGGAATCGTCTCGCATATCCCCACTTGGAAAGCTATGAATAGACTTCTTAACTTATAATGGGTTGACAATAGCTCAAACCCTCCTGCAACGAGTTGATGGTAATGTCAAATAATGTCTTTCCCCATGGAAACATGTCCTTCATAGCATAGCAAAATCTTTAACCAATATGAAAAAGAAGCTATCAACAACCTTTTCGTTGACGGTTGAACACGGTTCGTTTTGGACGATTTGTGTCATATTTTCAACTCAAACCATTTCACGCGATTTGAAATTTGTTCAAACCAAACCAAACATAAGCATTATTTGAGGTTTGGTTCTATTTTAATCCACAGTTTGTCTACCGATATTATAATAACATATTTAAAACAAGCCAACATATAAGTTTAAAAGAGAGTTAATAACGTTAATTATTAAATTATATTCATCTTTGTCTGAAATTCGAAGCATAAACAAAAAGAAAGAAAAGTAATAGCAACTTAGCATTTAACAACATGCCATTAGCTTTCTCCCTTCAATTTTTTCAAAGCAACATTATAGATGTAGCAGCAGTCCTTAAGTTTTAAAAATAAGTTTTAAAAAAAGGGGCACATAAGCCAGGCCCCTTTTTTTGCATGAGTGAT